GAGGGTGAGGGTAAAGAGATCCAGAACCCCCCTCTGATTCCTCTAATGAGAGTGGCAGCTCCATGGTGGAGACTCCCATCCTCAGGCCCTCACTAGGTCCCCCAGCCTCCTTCCTCCAGCCAAGTGTGCCCGAGACCCAAACTCCCCACCCCATCAGAAGGTATCAAATGGAACTACAGTGCAGAAACCAATGCAAAATGGTAAATGAAGCTATGGTGGAATAGTCTGGCCAGGAGTACTCAAAAAGGCCAGTCAGGCTCCTGTAGAGAGACTGCCCAGAGTTGGACAGAACCTGAACTAAAGGTTGCCTGGCATGAGGATTCTAGTCCAAATACAAGCAAATGATGACCCAGATCAGTTGCTTCACTTTTGTCAGCCTTGGTTTCCTCATCTATAACATGGGAGTTTGGCCTGGATCATTTCTGATTCCTTTCAGCCTAGAGGCCTGAGCCATGGTGTTTAGGAGCTCTGGCTGCCTAGGTTCCTATGAGATCACTTCACCTCTTCCAGTCTAAACTTCTCACCTGTAACACGGAATGCAGAAAACACCAGCTCAGAGGGTTACTGTGTGGATTCAGTAAGAGCATACCTGAGGTGGAGTGAGGGCTTAGTAAAGAGCATTCTGTGAATTCTGCAGTCTTCTGCTGCCACCACCCTCATGTACCCTCATGCTCATGAACTGAGTCAGATCAATGACCAGCTGTCCTCATTTCCTTTTGGGTGTGTCCTTTACTCCCTGCAGGGAGAGACCCACTGGATTTCCCCAAACCCAGGAAAATCAACATTAGCACACCTCGGCTGCCATGTGCATGGTTTCAAACACACACGGGGTCAGGCAAACCTCAGCATTCCAAGCAGCGGGTATAGTCACTGCAATAGGACAGGGAGGACAGGGAGAGAGGAAGCAGGCAATGGGAGGCTGCGTGCAGTCACTGAGGGGCAGGGAGCTAGCACAGCCCACAACCAAGCAGCCCATGCCAGTAGCGCCAACTCCTTACCTCCCCTGTAGGACCTCTGACCACCAGGTCTGTGTTCCCCCAAGAAGCTGGAGGCATGCTGGAAAGAGTAGAGAGCAGGAGACAGGGAGCAATATGTACTGAGCCAGGTTTACAGGAGGAAGTACTGAAAGGAAACCCAAGGAAGGGTGCTCAGTTCAGGGCGTCCATGGCAGAAGTGGTTTCCAAGTGACCTGAAAGACCCAAATGCCAAACCCCCAAGATTGGCCTGTGACAGATACGAAAAGAGGGAGATGAGAAGTAAAGGAAGAAGACACACACAGACTGGACTATCCCAGACTGGTACCTCCCCTCCACAGGCTGACACTGTATCTGCCCAGAGTGGCAAACAGTCAGGTTTCCCAGGCCCAAGGACCCAGGGAGGACGAAATACCCTCAGGAAAGCCCCACTACCCAGGTCAAAGGTCCACATATTTAAGTCACTCCTGCTGGGACCCAGAGGAGACAAAGTGTGTGTGTGGTTGGGGATAGCTGAGGGGAACTCACATTGTAAGGCCAATTTCAGAGAGTGGTAGCTCTAGTCTTGGCAGTACCATGAATCTGGCTAACTTTGGGCAAGGCACATATCTTTTTTGAGCCTCAGCTGCCCCATATACAAGATGGAAAGAATGTCCCTATTGGGACCAGCAAGTAGTGTGGTGGTTAAGGCACTAGATTCCACATGGCTAAGTGGTAAGAGTCCTGGACCCAGTGGCTTGAAAAATACACTGGGGGGGGGGTACCAGCAGTTGGCATAATGGTTATGTCGCTGAACTCCCACATAGCCAACTGCGGTTTGAGTCCAGGACCTGGTGGCTTAAAATCATGCCGGGCGCGTGTGCGTCCATGCCCAAGATCCTGAGAGGAGAATGGAGGAGAAGGGATTGAGGCATCGGGGTGATTTCTTGCTTTCTGTCTCTCTTTCTCTCTCTGTCTTTCTGGCAAGCACATGCACCCTATAGCAAAAACCTCTCTAATAATAATAATAATAATAACAACAACACTATACTGGGCACATGTATGTGCCCAAAATTCCAAGAGGGGAATGGAGAAGGGATTGCATATGACCATCACTCTGGGGTGTGTGTGTGTGATTTTTCACTTTCTCGCTGTCTTAGGCAAGTACACAAACCCTATAGTAAATAAATTAAAAAGTCCCTATCTACAATAGAAAATAGAGGGACGCACACTCTACCAATGCTAGGCCCCAAGTCCCCACAGCACACAGCTGGGTTTTCTAAATATTTCACTGGGAGTTGGTTTGTGTTAGAATAGGAAGATGATCAAACATCCAAGAGATTCCTAGCAGCAGCCTGCACAGAAGGGCTCCTGGAATCTCACTGCCACCAAGGTCCATTCCTCAGGCCCATCCCAGGGAAGAAGGGGCATAAAGTTTGGGATAGAGTTTTTAGTAACATTTAACACATTCAGGGGCTAGTTCAATGGCTCCTATTTCCCACCTGGACTGTCCACAATCCCCCTCATGAAATTCCTATATCGCTGACTCAGTGACCCTGAGTCCTGTCCAGTGTGTCCCTCACCCCAGGAAACTTATAAACTCCTCCAGGCAGGAGCTGGCTCTGCCCTGTTCATCACTGGGTCCCAGTACCCACTCACTGGGACACTCATAGTAGATGCCCAACAAATACCAAAAGAATGACAGACTCCACAACACCAAGCCCCTGATCGGCAGTGTCAGTCCCTGGAGCCAGCCCAACAATGAGATGGCACAGTTTTTTTAGCTGTTCACAATCTGGTGACCAACTCAGTTAATTATTCTTGGTCACAGTTACCCTAGGAAGACTGGTATTACAATCTTGTCTTACAGATAAGTAAACTGAGGTCAAGCAAGGAAGAAGTGATTTGCCCAAGGGCACACAATTGGATAGCTAGAGCCAGGGCAAAAACCTGTCTTCCAACATTCCTGCCTGGGCCCCAGGCTGCCATTGGCATGGTTAGCTATCTCTGATACCCACCTAGACACCAGTGCCTGGGCACCATCATAGGTTAGATATCTAGATATTGGCCCTGTAGCCCTATACTCAACACAATGTCCACCACCCTATAGGTGCCACCTACTCTAGATAGCTTGGGTCCAGAGTGTAACAAGTTGGCATGGTGACAGGGAGCCCAGGCTGGCGCCCACAGCTACCTTTGATGACAAAAGCCTCCGACAGCATCCGCATCTGATACAAGGGTTTGTTCTCCACAGACATGTCATCAATCCCGGCCCGTGCATACATGCTGATGGCATCTCGGTACGATCCCTCCACGTAATGCAGCTTGCCCAGTATCAGCATGGCCTCTAGCATGTACTGCGGCTGAAAGGACATGGACCACATTAGCAGACTCCTGCCCTGAAGCACCCAGCCCTCCCCTGACAGGGATGCAACCCCCCAATGAGTCATAAGCCAGGATTTCCCAAAGACCCTGCTCAGAACCTCCCTCTTCTCCAGGAATCCTTCCTTGACTTTCAAACCCACACTCAGTGAAGGCTTCCTTCTCTCATCACTTGTAGTATGCAGCCTACATTGCGATGCTTAATGCATTTCTCACATGAGTCCCTAGTTGTTTCATACGAGTGTGTTTTATGCCCCCAACGAGACTCCAGGCAGCTAGCAGACAGGGCCCTATCTTCTCTTTCCTGAAGTCCCTAAAGGCTCTGGTCCAGGCTAGGTACTCTGGAGTTTGGGCACTTATTCTGAACATAAGTGGAGAGTCAGGGACTGATTTCTAAGGCCTGAAGCTTATATTTAGGAGTTTTTCTTTGTATACATATATATGAAATATATAGTTAGGCAAAAGGCCTCAGAAAGAGCCTGTGAGAATCCTGAAGCTTATGCTTCTACCCATTGCATGGGACCTTTGCTAGGAAGAACAGCCACATCAGCATCATGGGACAGAGAGTAGAGGGCCTGCAGGGTCACCGTCCTCATTTTATCAGAAGCAGGTGAAAGTGCAGAATCAAGGCGGCTCAAAGTGCCAAATTCAAACCTGTTTTCTTCCCCCTTCTTTCTCAAGTGCTATTTACACCACCTCTCCACCCACAGGACTCTCAGGGCCTCCCTTAGGGCTGAGGAGGTGTGGTCTATCCTGTCTACCCTGGCCACCTTCATCCTAGGTTTGGCTCTGTTCACAGCCAGGACACCTAGTGCAGTGGACTGGGGTGACTTAATTAGCCATAGACTATGGGGCTCTGATTACAGGAATTTGCTTTTAAGAATTATTTTATTTCACTTTATTTATTATTATCATTTTCTAGCTTTTGATCAGAGAGAAACAGAGAAAGAAAGGGAAAGGGAGAAAGCAAGCACCAAGTCCAGGACTTGAACCATGGTCTGCCATATGGGAATCTAGCGCCTTTAACCACCATGCCACCTGCCAGCCTCATCTGATTTCAGGAATTCTGATTTTGGACATAGGCCTAGTCCTTCCTCAAAATCTCCTACCTCTCAAAACCATTTGCTCCAGCCCCCTACTTCATTCCTGTGCTTAGCTGGACCATAAACCTTTTGGGGCAGGTTCTCGGCATTATCCCTGCCTCATAAGCAACCAATCTGTCTATAAAGTCCCCTCGGAATGCAACTTTGCCCATCCCTCCATTCACCCCGGCCTCTGTCACTGGCGGGAAGGCACCTCCCTGTCTCCCTACAAGAAGGTAAGAATCTCAGGTTCCTGTGACACCAGAGGAGTCTCTACCACTCCCTACCATCTATAGCCCCTTAGAAATGAAATAAGAGAAATGGAAGGGCCAGGGAGTGATACAGTGGTAGCACAGCTAGACCCATATGTGAGGATTCCAGGTTCGCACCCTACAGCCTTCCTATATGTGTCAGACATGTGTGCTCATGATCTGGGCTGGCTGAAGCTAGGGATGCAACATGGTGAGGGGATCCTGTTGGAGGTATCTGCCTCTTTCTCTCTCTCTGTCTCTCTCTCTCTCATGGAAGAAATGAATAAACTATTAAAAGGAAAAGAGAGAGAGAGAAAGAAAGAAAGAAATAGAGTATGGCAAATTCTGGTTCCTTTTTTTTTTTGAGAGATTTTTGCCATAGGGCACATGTGTTCACCAGAGAGACAGAAAGAGACAGAGAGACACAAAGTGAGAAATCACACCCCAGGGGGGATGGCCACACAGCAATCCCTTCTCCTCATTCTCCTCTTGGGATTTTGGGCATGCACACACACGTACCTGGCATGAGTTTTAAGCCGCCAGGTCTGGGACTCGAACCTTGGTCGACTACGTGGGAGTCTAGCGACATAACCATTATGCTACCTGCTGGTTCCAAGCCAGCTCCAATAGAGCCAAATTCTCCTTCTCCACAGTTTTTGTTTGTTTGTTTTGTTTTTGCAATGCATATTCCTCCACTACCTTTGCTCATTCCAGTTCCCTTCTCCTCAGCTCATGCAGATTCTCTTCCATCTTATGTGGTCTTGCTCAGGCCTACCACATTCTGGAAACTTCCCTGACTACCAAGAGCACTCTTCTGCTGAACTCCTACAATGTCACTCCACCAAGTAAGCCCATTCAGTCTCTGCACACCTGACCTGCTCTGTCCAACTATTGATTAACCTCAAAGGCTGAATTTCTTTCAAGCACGTTTGCAAGTTTCCTCAAATAGACCACTCACCCATCCCTTGGCCATAAGTTATACATCCCCAGACACATAATCACAGTCTTCCAAGCTGGGCAATGACGCCAGCATTCTCTACACTGGTCTCAAGCCACAGGCTCATTTCCTCCCTCCTTGGGCCTCATTTCCCTCATTGGTGAGGGAGAGATAATAACACATACTCCCACCTTCCATCATAGTGATGCTAAGTACATTAATAGGGAAAAGCCCAGAAAAGAACTTTGAACTTTTCTTTAGAAAGGAGCTAGATAAATACAGGGTATGAGTAATTACTATTATTATCTTCTGCAATGCATGAAGAAAAGGGCAGCTAGGACAGAAGGACACATTTCAGGGCATGATGACAGGTGTAGTTAGTGGAGGTTCCTGGTGGACCAAATGACAGCTTACATTAGAGCTTCCACCAAGCTGGGGAAATATTAAGGGCAAGGGAGTATATGTTTCATAAAGTTAAACTTATGCTATTTAAAAAGCTGTCCTTGATCCTGAGAATATATTTATCTCACCTTTTGGGTATTAAGATATCTTTGCTTTGGGACCAGCAGTTAGCATAATGGCTATGTCGTCGACATAATGACTCCCATGTAGTCGACCGCAGTTCGAGTCCTGGACCTGGTGGCTTAAACTCATGCCAGGCATGTGTGCGTACGTACCCAAGATCCCAAGAGGAGAATGGAGGAGAAGGGATTGCGGCATGGTCATCACCCCTGGGGGGTGATTACTTGCTTTCTGTCTCTCTATCTCTGTCTTTCTGGCAAGCGCATGCACTCTATAGCAAAAACCTTTTCAAAAAAGAAAAAAATAAATAAATTTAAAAATCTCTTTGCTTTTATGGAGCAACGGTAACAGAAAATGGTACGATTTTGCTGGGTTTTATTTGTTTTTGTTTCTGTTTTGCCTTTTAAAGTTTTATTTCTTTCATGAGAAAAAGAGCGATAGAGAGGTATCCTTGATAGGGTCTTACTATGGTATGAGCCCCCTCCCAGCCTTCCAACCAAACACTTGGTGTGCTTGGGTGGACCCAGGATCCAAACCAAGGCCTTCCCACATGGCTCCAGTACCATGCAGTGATGCCCTACTGCCTATGCTACCACAGTTGGGCCATATTTTGCTTTTTAAATATCTTTGCTTGGAATGTTAAAGACAGCTACTCTGGGGAACAACAGGTGGCATGGTGGTTAAGGTGCTGGGCACTCCCGCATGGTCGACCACAGTTCTTGTCCTGGACCTGGTGGCTTACTTTCTCGCTTTCTCTCTCTCTCTCTGTCTCACTCTGGTCAAATTAAAATAAATGAATGAATAAATAAAATTAAAATAAATAATTTTTTAAAAAAGTCAGTTACTCTATGGGACTCCTGCATCTGAATTTGAAATGTTATTGATCAGTCAATCCAATAGTCAGGGAACCTTGAATCCCTGGCCCAGTGTTAGGAGACTATTCTGAAGTCATCCAGTAGGAAAATAGTTCCTCTGCTGTGTGATTAGCATGTCATCTACTCTTTGTTCCTCACTGTCTTTGCCAGGGAAGAACGACCTCAAGGAGATACCCAGGTATGAGGAAATACCTCACACAGAGGAACGATAGGACCTATAAAAGCGAGAGTGCCATCGTCATCTTTTTTTTCCCCATGGTTATTTATTAAGTCCCCAACATATATTTATTTTTTTATTTTCAACATCCTGTTCTTCAGCTTCCTTGGCTCTTTTTGCCTGGATGCCAAAGAGCTGGGCATTGGCACAGGCCATGCAAAGACTGGCTAAGGCCTTAAAGTTCCTCTCTTCCTCAGGTGTGAGTCTGGTTTTCTCCTTCTTGTAGACATTCTGTATGGGCATCACTGGTACTGTCATCTGAGTGGTCAGCTTGAGTTCTTCAGCAGAGCTATCTCCATACTTGGGGGCCAAGGGCTTTCTGGGGAAGAGAGTGAGTTTAGAGCGGTACTCCTTCAGCTGCTGAACATCAGGGCTGCAGGGACTCTGGATTTGTTCCACCTCTGTGGGTCCACAGAGATGCTGATGGTCTGGGTCATCTTCTTGCAAATGCTGGCTTTCTGCGTTCCTCCAGGCAGAAGCCCCAGCTCACACATTGGTATGGCACCACACCATGGGCACCTCACGATGGGCCTGATGGAGCCAAATTTTCCAAGAAGTAAATGAACTTAGAGAGAGAAAGAGAGAGAGAGAGAGGGAGGGATCAGCAGTTGGTGTAATGGCTATGTCACTGGACTCCCATGTAGTCAACTGCAGTTAGAGCCCTGGATCCAGTGGATTAAACTCACACCAGGCGCATGTGTGTGCATGCCCAAGATCCCAAGAGGAGAATAGAGAAGGGATTGTGGCATGACCATCCCCCCAGGGGGTGATTTCTCACTTTCTGTCTCTCTATCTCTCTCTGTCTTTCTGGCAAGTGCATGCGCCCTATAGCAAAAACCTCTCCAAAAAAAAAAGAGAGAGAGAAATGGAGTATGGCAAAGCTAGGTTCCAATGGAGCCAGATTATTCATTGCCACTGGTGATGCGGCATACTTTCAATTCGCGGGCCTTGCATCTGCAGATCTTCCACGCCAGCTGGTGGAATCAGGTGGCCATGCTCCACTGCCAGTCTTTGTGGAAGTGTGGCTTTAGCATCATGCCATTCTGGTTGGGTGCCATGGCCGCCTATGGCCCTCCTCCACGGAAGAATGGCCCAGCAAAAAAAGCTCCATCGTCATCCTCAACGTTAATCCAAGTTTCAGTCATTATTTTATTTTCATTCCACTATTTTGAAAAGCAGCACCAAGAAGTGGCAGGTAGTATTAGAGTTTGGAATGTGGAGATAATTAGGCTGGGGTTCAAGTCCTGTATCTGCTAGTGTATTGTTCACCACTTCAGAAATGGGGCTAATAATAAATGTCATTGCAGGATATTGGGAGGCCTCCATGGGATGTTGCAATTTTGGAGCTTATTGGATAACAGAAGTTATTACAAGTAGTTTTTTTCACCAACCTCTACAGAACTGAGTTGAATAGGATCTTAGAGATCACCAAGAACAGAGGGTTTCAAACTACTCTGAGCAGGTGCTTCAGAGCACACCACTCCTTTCCTCCTCATCCAGTAGAGCTACTTGAGATGCATGGGAATCCACCTGAAATTGCTTCTGCTGCCAAGAAAGATAACTCCTAGCTACACTCTGACCTTTGGGATAAGATAGAAAATACCACAAATGACTTTCATTACTTTATTTTGTCTGATCAACCGTAAGTTTCTGGTCTGGCTTGGAAAACAGTGATGTTCCCTATGTTATTGATGCCTATGAATGTCTCTGTTTAATCCAACATGGCAAGGGGCCAGCAGGTAACATGGTGGTTAAGGCGCTGGATTCCACATGGTCAACCATGGTTTGAGTTCTGGACATAGTGGGTTGAAAATCAAGCTGGGTATGTGTGTGTATGTGCCCAAAATCCCAAAGAGGAGAATGAAAGAGAAGGGACTGCTGTGTGGCTATCTGCCCTGGGGGGTGATTTCTCACTTTCCCTTTCTCTGTCCCTCTCTAGTGAGTGCATGTGCCCTATAACAAAATCCAAAAAATAAATAAAATTTTAAAAAGGGTAAAATTTGTATTTAATAAATGGGTAAATGGAATTTAGTGAAAAAGACAGTTTTCATGATATATTTCGATATTAGTCAACCAATATAAAGAATGAGGTACTTGCAGAGGGAAAGTTCCAAGTGAAATTTCTCAGTAAAAAAGAACTGGTCAAATATTGGGTCGTCCAAAAAGTCATGACACATTTTTGCACAGAAAAATACATCATGACTTTTCCGACGACCCAGTATATAACCCGTGACTCTAAGGAAAGAGGAAGAGTATAGCGAAGGAAATAAGGGAGAAAAAATAGAGAGGCAAGACATTTGTGGGACACAGTAATGGTTTATTACCTGTCAATGATAACATGTGTAGTATACTCGACTGTACTGGTCTGAGGTGTATTTCATAACGGGTAAATTCTCTTTGTGAGCCAAATGATGTACAGTGATTGAATATATAAAAGAATAGTAAAAAATAAAAATTAAAAAAAAATATATATATATAAGTTGGCTCAACCAACTTGGAAAAAAAAAAGAAAAGAAAGCTCTACATGCATACAAACATTTGTAAATGCACAAAGAAAGGCATAGGAGACACAATGAATAGTGACTATTGTTCACCTCTGAGGATGGAAGTGAGCATGGGGTCAGGCTGGCAAACAAGGGCTTTTATTTATCATTCAAATTACTTATCTTTGATTGAATTTTTTACAATAAACCTGAGTCACATTTATTGTAAAATAAATTTTTAACTATTTAATGGCATCTATAGGAAAGAAAAAAATTAAAGGAGGTCTCAATGGAAAAGCTTAGAACTCACTAATTGGGTCCAATCCTTTTGATAGGTAGATAAGAAAAAACTGGAGGGTCACAAGCACAAGGGACATGCTCAGCAGTTATTTTAACCCAACATAAACCCAATAATAATTATTATATTAATAATCTCAGTCAAGAAGCCTAGAAGCCTAAAAACAGTAACCATAAACTTCTAGTATGCTATCCTTTCTTCTTTCACCTAACATCCCCTCTGGTTCCAGAATAAGCCCCACACTTCTTGGCCTAGCCTTACCATCCCCTCTCTCATCCCTTGAAAACCTAATTACTCACCATTCCCTTTCACTTCTGCTAATTTGACCAACTTTAATGAGATTCTTTATAAGACTTACCCTCAGATTGCACACTGCTTCCTTAACTTGAAATGCTCAGTCCTTATTCCTGTAGGTCCATATCCTCACCTCACATCCAGATTCAACTCCAGGAAGGGTTCAAATCTAGTAATACCATCACCCTGAACCTGCTCCCTACCTCATCCAGGGAGGTGTTCTTACACTTGCATCCTCATGTATACCACTCTTACAGCATGGATCATGGTCCACTTTAGACAAAGGCAGTTTATTTGCTGATAAGACATATCTCCTTGAGTGCAAAGTCCATGCTAGACTCATCTTGAGCACCCTCAATGTGCATAACACAATGCCTTGCACACCGTAGGGTCACATAAAATATTTAAAGAAGTAACTATATTATTTTGGGATATCTTTAGAAAAATCATTTTCTCTTCAAGTCTATAATGACATACCCATACTCCTATTATAGCTCAAGATATATACTACAATGTAGGATAGTCTCAAACTTTGACATGTATGTGGATCACTGGGAGAGCTTGTTAAAAATGCAGAGTCTGATTCAGATTTTGCATTCTAACCAGCTCTCCAATGATGACCATGCTGCTGGCAACTATGCCATACTTTGAGCAGCCAATCTAGAGAAAGATGTGACTATACTCCTCTCTCAACTTTCTTAGTGTCTTGCACACAGTAGGTGCTCAATAAACACACATGAACTTAAACTGGCTTGCCCTGTTCTGGACCTTGTTATATCTGTAGCCAACTCTGCATGTTTGCCTGCTTCCAACTAGATCACAGCTCACTGAAGTTTCATTTCCCTGAGACACCCTCCCAAGGAGCACAAAAAGCCAGGCCCTTATTAGATCAGCTCGGCGCTGTCCAATAGAAATATAACTTAAGCCACAAATGTAAGTCACAGGCATAATTTCCAAATTTCTAGTAAACATTTTGAATCACATTTTCAAAAGGTAAAGACAGATGAAATTCATTTTAATAACATTTTCTTTAGCCCAATACATCCAAAAGATTATTTGAATATGTAATCAATACACAAAGTTAATGCTGTTTTACATTCTTTGTTTTGCACTGAATCTTCCAAATTCAGTGTATTTTATACATATAGCACATCTCAGTGGTATGTGCTATAAATATATATATATATATATATTATATCACATATATATTATATTTTAAATTTTATTTATATCACTTCCTTTCCAGGGGAGCCCCTTTCCTCATATAATGGGAGTGTCCTCTGCACACCTGCTCAAAGTGTGGCAGGGGGGGCGAAACTTGAGTACAGTTTAGAATACGTATATATAGAGAGAGAGAGACAGAGAGACAGAGAGACAGAGAGACAGAGAGAGAGAGAGAGAACATTCTGAGGGACTGACCAAAAAAGTGCATGGTTCAAGAGTCATATGTGACTAATGGCTACCATACTGAGCTACGCAGGTCCAACCCTTAAGAAAGACTTTGTTCAGGTGACCAAAGAACAAAGGTTAGGCCAAACAGGAGATAGAGGGCTCAGGGCTGACAACTTACCGGCAGCTTCCCATGGTTAAGGATACTACTCAGATAATTTTTGGCTTCATTCATCTTTTGCTCATTCTTCTCCTGCAAAGGAATGGAGTCTTTTATTTTGGCATGGTTCTTTTTCAAACACTGCTCCAGGAGGGCCTCTGCTAGCAGCAATTTGCCAAAGTCATCTGAAAAATAAAGCAGGGATCAGAGTGGTGAATGAGGGCAACAGCCTCCTAAACAGGCAGAAGTGGAGTCTAGTCCAGAGGACCTACCCTCCACCCCTACCCAGCATATCAATGGGGCAGGTCAGGGAGAAAATAGACAGATTTTCCCATAAATTAAAATAGCCTTTAAAGAAAACACTTGAGCACTCTACCATGGTCACAGTACAAATTGCCCCTCTGGGTTTATTTTCTGCTGAGGTGTAGTAGTTGGAGAGGTTCCGAGGGCTTGAGGACAAATTCCCAGGATTTCAGAATTTTAGATGAGGGACATACCTATGCCCCACTGTGGGTAATAAACCAAGAAAAAAATTGTCCCCAAGAGACCAAAGAGGAAAAAGGTATGAGGTGAATTAGTAATGCATTTTCACATGCTCCTAATTTCCATGTGATCACAATTGTTTTTTTACTTTCCATTTTCAAGATACTTTTAATATGACCTAGGGATACTGGAGTAGTTAAGAGTTAAGATGGCAAGCACATTTACTTGTGTAACAAGACAAGTCTGAAAATATTTAGAACTTGCACTTTCTGAAGTTCTACTACATATGGTTATTTATTTACCTGCTTCATCACATGGTAAATATTGAGAGAGAACATTCTGAGGGACTGACCAAAAAAGTGCATGGTTCAAGAGTCATATGTGACTAATGGCTACCATACTGAGCTACGCAGGTCCAACCCTTAAGAAAGACTTTGTTCAGGTGACCAAAGAACAAAGGTTAGGCCAAACAGGAGATAGAGGGCTCAGGGCTGACAACTTACCGGCAGCTTCCCATGGTTAAGGATACTACTCAGATAATTTTTGGCTTCATTCATCTTTTGCTCATTCTTCTCCTGCAAAGGAATGGAGTCTTTTATTTTGGCATGGTTCTTTTTCAAACACTGCTCCAGGAGGGCCTCTGCTAGCAGCAATTTGCCAAAGTCATCTGAAAAATAAAGCAGGGATCAGAGTGGTGAATGAGGGCAACAGCCTCCTAAACAGGCAGAAGTGGAGTCTAGTCCAGAGGACCTACCCTCCACCCCTACCCAGCATATCAATGGGGCAGGTCAGGGAGAAAATAGACAGATTTTCCCATAAATTAAAATAGCCTTTAAAGAAAACACTTGAGCACTCTACCATGGTCACAGTACAAATTGCCCCTCTGGGTTTATTTTCTGCTGAGGTGTAGTAGTTGGAGAGGTTCCGAGGGCTTGAGGACAAATTCCCAGGATTTCAGAATTTTAGATGAGGGACATACCTATGCCCCACTGTGGGTAATAAACCAAGAAAAAAATTGTCCCCAAGAGACCAAAGAGGAAAAAGGTATGAGGTGAATTAGTAATGCATTTTCACATGCTCCTAATTTCCATGTGATCACAATTGTTTTTTTACTTTCCATTTTCAAGATACTTTTAATATGACCTAGGGATACTGGAGTAGTTAAGAGTTAAGATGGCAAGCACATTTACTTGTGTAACAAGACAAGTCTGAAAATATTTAGAACTTGCACTTTCTGAAGTTCTATTACATATGGTGATTTATTTACCTACTTCATCACATGGTAAATATTTTTAAAAATTAATTAATTAATTAAAAAATTTGTTATAGTGTACTTGTGGGGAGTGGGAGAGATGAGAAGGCAACCCCTAGGGAGGATGGCCACATGATAATCTCATCTCCATTCTCCTCTCAGGATTTTGGGCACACATGTACATACACCTGGTGTGTTTTTCAAGTTGCTGGGTCTGGGTTTTGAACTGTGTGGTCAGTCATGTGGAATTCAGTTGTCTTAACCACACCACTGGCTGGCCCTGGTAGGTGGTTTTATACCACTTGATTTAATTTGCTTCCTCCTCCTACACACTGAAAACTCCACTCCAGTCTTGGGAGCCAGCAGGTGGCATGGTGGTTGAGGTGCTGGACTCCCATATGGCTGGCTATGGTTCAAGTCCTGGATCTGGCAGCTTGCTTTCTCACATTCCCTCTCTTTCTCTCTCTGGTCAAATTAAAAAATAATAATGATAATAGGGACCAGCAGATGGCTTAATGATTACATCGCTGGACTCTCATGTAGTCAACTGTGGTTTGAGTCCCAGACCTGGTGGTTTCAAACTCATGCTGGGTGCATGTGTGTGCGTGCCCAAAATTCCAAGAGGAAAGTAGAGGAGAAGGGACTGCAGCATGGCTATCCCCTCAGGGGGTGATTTCTCACTTTCTGTCCCTCTCTGAATGCATGTGCCCTATAGCAAAAACCTCTCTTTAAGAAAAATAAATATGTGCTTGCTTCGGCAGCACATATACTAAAATTGGAACGATACAAAGAAGATTAGCATGGCTCCGCACAAGAATGACATGGAAATTCGTGAAGTATTCCATATTTTTGAATACTACTCAGCCATAAAAAATAACAAGACCCTGGCATTTGATAGAAAGTGGCCAGATATGGGAGGATCTTTTGCTGAGTGAAGTAAGTCAGGCTATGAAAGAAAGATATTGTATGTATCCACTCAGTATATACTGACTATCTGCACTCTATGGTAGAGAGCGAAAAAATGGAGGACATAAAAGCAGTGAAGGTACTTAACAAGAATAGGACAGTGTGGAATGGGGGAGGTGAACAGAAGAGGATAGAGAAAGACAGCAAGAGAACAACAGAGAGGCAGGACGTTAGTGAGAAACAGATACGGCTTATTAACTGTTGATGATGACGTGTATAGTATTCTCAACTGGATTGGTCTGAGAAGTATTTGCTGATGGGTAAAGTCTTTTTACAAGCAAAATGAGAAATAGTGATTGACTGTTTTAAAAAATAATTAGAATAATAATAATTGGGAAAATCATAGAAAAGATATTGAATGTTGAAGTGGGGAGATTAATGTCTCTGTATTGACTGACATGCATGGCATTCCCTTTTGAAAAAAGCAATGTAATACACTGTAAAGTTACATGTAATCCAATGTAATATAGAGAAGATTATGATGATAATAAAAATAAAAAAAGAAAAATAAATATATAAAATTAAATAATTAATTCTTTTAAAAAAGAAAAGAAAAGAAAACTCCAGTCTGTGACCAACTTATTCTTGTACCTACAACAAAGGCAGCTCTGGCATGGGAGTCAGATGTTCAGTATGCAGAGTTTGGGGCCAAATGTGGTATCATGTGGCTGTGCTCATTATCCTTCCCAGTTACCACAGCAAAAACCAGGCCTACCACTCACTACAGATGCCCAATAAATACTTGTGAAGTGATTCAGATCCTTTTATCTACCCCACAGGAAGTCATCGGGCTCAGAAGTTAAGCACCCAACCCAAAAAAATGACACTAGGAATGTCTGCTTGGTCCCATCTTTATATAGTGCTCCTCCCTGTGTCCCTTCCAGTCCCCATGCACTTGTTAAAAGTTTACTTCTTCCATGAGTGAGACAGATACAGAGAGAGCACCCTCAACAGAGTACTGACACTGCAATTCACCCCCATTCTCAGCAAGCCCCAGATCATGGCACCTGTGTGCCTAGTGTACTCAAGGAGGTCTGCTGAACACAAACCCTGACCTTCTCACGTGTCAGCCTCAAAGAGCATAACGTTTTACTGTTGTGCTACTGTCGAGCCCCCCATGCCTCATAGTGTTCTTTCTGCTGCCAGCATCTCCAGACCTACCTAGGGTTGCCATTAACTCCTCACTCACAGGATCATCACAAAGCAAAACTAGTCCAAAACTGTGTTCCTCTGACAAATGTCTTTCATAAGGGAGATTCCTTGCAGTGAACAGTTCTAAAGTCCAGAATACTTGGGACATAGCCACGGGAGGTTTTCCCTCTGAGGACACCTATTATCAGATCCTTTCCTACCCACCTCATGATATTTTAAATTAATGTTTTGAGGAAATGCAAATAAAAAAGTCACTGGTTCAAACTATTATTCATTGTTGGTGGAACATAAGTTGGCGGACCCTTTACAAAGTGCAATTCGGCAACATGTAACAAAATTATTTCCGTATATTCCATTAACCTATTTTTGTATATTCCACTCCTACAGATGTCCTTGCACATGTATAAAATGACCTAAGTGAAAGATAATTCCTGCCAGTGCCAGCAGGTGGCATGGTGGTTAAGGCAGTGGACTCCTATGTGGCTGACTATGGTTTGAGTCTCGAACCTGGAAGCTTGCTCACACTTTCCCTCTCT